AGGACACGTTAGAGATAATGAGACACGAGGACACGTTAGAGATAATGAGACATGAGGACACGTTAGAGATAATGTTGTAAATAATCGTGATTCATTTATTATTACTGTGGATTATAATTGTTATTAAATTCTTACCGTCAGTACTTTCTTCTTTCCGTCTTTCAGAAACTTCTGTCTCTTCTTTTTTCCTCTGAGGGCAATGTCGAACTCCTGCAGAGCTTTAGACACTGAAAAGGACAGCAGTATAAATACTACACACAGTACAAATACTACACACAGTACTAAAGATTTCATTAAGCTGATAACTTCAATGACTTGTACTCACCACGATTCTGTTTTCTCTCTTGTTCAGTTTGAAACCAAACTCTCTGGGATTGGCAGGAAGGGGCGGAGCCATTGAGACGTTTCTGAGCAACACTCAACTACACACACAACAAAGTGAAATACAAAATCATCAATCAAGAGAAAGAACCTTACTGTCTTCAGGTGAGTTCAGGTGAGTTCAGGTGAGTTCAGGTGAGTTCAGGTGAGTTCAGGTACCTTGGCCTCAGATGCAGCCAGCTCTCTCTCTTCTCTCTCCAGCTTCATCACAGCTCCAACGTCTTTTTCAATTTTCGAGATCAAATCTCTGAACTTCAGGATCACCTCTGGGCGAGAGACACACAGAGAGGGGGAGAGAATTGAGTCACAGCCCACCTGAGAAACTTCTCCTGAACTACCAACCGGCTCTGTCTATTTCCTGGACACAGTGCAGCCTCTCTGACCTGTCTGTCCCTCAGGTGAGCGTACCTGGTGGCAGGACTCGAGCTTTCACGCTGTTCTTGGCTGATTTCACCACTTCCTTCAACATCTTCCTCTCAGACTCTCCGACCAGAGACACGGAACGTCCAGAGCGACCGGCTCTCGCCGTTCGACCAACACGGTGGACGTAATGTTTGACTGTGGAGGGCATGGTGAAGTTTATCACCTGAGAGACAGAAAGGTAGAGACAGACAGTTAGAGACAGACAGTTAGAGACAGACAGGTAGAGACAGACAGTTACAGGTAGAGACAGACAGGTAGAGACAGACAGTTAGAGACAGACAGTTAGAGACAGACAGGTAGAGACAGACAGGTAGAGACAGACAGGTAGAGACAGACAGTTAGAGACAGACAGGTAGAGACAGACAGGTAGAGACAGACAGGTAGAGACAGACAGTTAGAGACAGACAGGTAGAGACAGACAGGTAGAGACAGACAGGTAGAGACAGACAGGTGCATGTGTGTGTGTGTGAGAGATGTGTTATGTTCTGACTCAGTTTTAATAAAAGCTGTCTGTAGAATTACGTCAATGGTGACCATGGTAATAGTTAACACAACTACAGAGACAGGTAAATTACCATGGTAACCAGGTAACTCTTTACTAACGGTACAGTAACATGGTGACCTGATAACACATTTGTTATTCTGTGAGAAGCCTGCAGAGATTCTACAAGAACGTTCTGGTTCCTCAGTAGAACCTTCTTGGTTTTCCTGTAATAACTATTAAGAGACTTGACACTCACCGTTTTCACTCCACCAATGTCCAAACCTCTGGCTGCAACATCTGTCGCCACCAAGATATCGATCTGTTCATCTTTAAAACGCCTGAGAACAAGAACCAAGAGAAAAAATACATGGAAGAGAGGTTCTGGATATTGTGTGTGTTCTGGCTCCTGCAAATTTCAGAGCCTTATAATCTATTCAAAGAATAATACTGAAAAATCATTAGAACTGTACGTCTGTTTTTACTATGTTGACCTGTTATGTAACAGGAAGTTGAAGGTTAAACAGGAAGTTGAAGAGTTAGCAGGAAGTAGGAAGTCCACTTGTGGAGCCATGCTGAAGCCTGCAGCCCTGTTTGCTAATGCTGAGCACAGCCTGTAAGTTTTCTACGTAACATTTTTGTTGACATATGACTTTAAGAACATCGGGTGGTGTATAACACTACATTTTAGCATACTTAGTTGTTTGCATAATGGCGCTAGCATTAGCGCGCTAGCTTGGTAGTGTAAGCATGTTAGCATTAGCATGTTAACATGTCTTGCATGTAAGCTTCTTTTGTCACAAGGGGATTGAATAGTTAATTTGCTTCATGTGACAGTTTGTAACCTACCGGTGATGGTTTGTAATTTCATGTTGCAGTTGTCACTCTGTCTAATGTGTGGGAAATTCGAATTAAGTTCATGAAGGAGAACTTCTTCAACTCGTCATTGATTGGAGGAGTTAGCTATCTGCGTGGCTGCGTCAGGGAATCTGTGAGGGCTGTGTGTACCTGAGGTTCTCCAGCCTCTGGCTCTGGCTCAGTTCTCCGTGCAGTTCTCCGACATTCAGTCCCATCAGACCCAGCAGGATGTGAAGTCTATGAGCCTGTTTCCTCGTCTGAGTGAACACCATCACATGATCCTGGAACGTCCGGGTCAGAAGAGCTGACACAACAAACTGCCGTCATTAAGAGAGCCTCAGTTTATTAGAGTATTACTGCAGCCCAAAGTACCTACCGGACACCACAGCCTCTCGGTCGCCCTCTCTGTTTGGTCGGATTCTGACAAACTCCTGTCGTAGGAACGGGGCCACATCAGTATTGCTGTTAACAAAGATCCTGATTGGCTCCTTCAACGAAACCGCTGCCAGGTCTTTCACCTGGAAACGAGGGTCACATGACAAACAGTGATGCACCTGGAGAGGCTGGTCACATGACACACACCTGGGGACCCAGGTCACATGACAGAGGTGTCAATATGTACCTCGTCCGTCATGGTGGCAGAGAACAACATGGTCTGTCTGTTGTAGGAACACAACCTGATGATCTCCTTCATCTGTTCTTCAAAGTACTCGTCCAACATCCTGAAGCACGAGCACACAGTCACACAGGTGAGTTCACACAGGTGAGTTCACACAGGTGAGCATGTTTGATGATGGATCCTAAGCCTGTGGTGAAGTGTCAGTGTTTACCTGTCAGCCTCGTCCAGGATCAGGATCTCAATGTGAGAGAGCTCAAAGCTCGGCGTGTTGTGGAGGTGATCGATCAGTCGACCAGGTGTAGCAATCAGGACATCTGGCCCCGCCCTCAAAGCCGCCTCCTGAGACTTCAGGTCCAAACCACCTGGAGACAAAACCAAGAAAGGTCAACTGAGTCCAGAGACAGAACCAGTTACAGGTCAGTAATGGGTCGTACCAACAGTCAGGCAGGTGGTGATGGAGGTGAACTGGGCCAGTTGACGAGCCACAGAGTGAACCTGGATACCCAACTCCCTCGTCGGAACAAGAACCAAGACCCGGGTCACCTGGGACGTCCTCGGCTTGTAAACCAAACGCTCCAGCACTGGCAGCATGAAAGCAGCTGTCTTCCCTGGGGACAGAACATTTCATGAATGAATGAACTGGTTCCAGCGTAGTGAACTGGTTCAGTGTAGTGAACTGGTTCCAGTGTAGTGAACTGGTCCAGCGTAGTGAACTGGTTCAGTGTAGTGAACTGGTTCC